TCGTCCTTTACTAATTCTTCTTGCGCAAGAGACCTGTCTACCTTACTGTTATACGATCGAAGGAAAGTCGGATTTCTTTCCCAATTGTATTTGTGCGAAAAATTGAACGCTGCAGACGATACCCTGAAATATGAACTTGGCTTACAGATTCCATGTTCCACATCGATACTTATTACAATAACCTTATGACACTGGGTTTAGGAAACCCACATAGAAAACGAAAGACTGATTTTATTTCGATCTCAAGTATTTAGTGTTTTATGACCAGGAGATAAAGTCTTTTAAGTCAGATCTTCTAGGAGTCTTCGAAAGAGAAAAAAATTTATATAATAAATGACAAATATCAGTGTGTCACACTTTTTCAATTAAAGAGACACAACTCTCAATAGTTTGTCTTCTTCTTCTATATAATAAATGCTAATGTCAGTGTGTCACACTTTTTCAGTTAAATGGATACAATTCTCAATAGTTCATCTTCTTCTATATAATAAATGCTAATGTCAGTGTGTCACACTTTTTCAGTTAAATGGATACAATTCTCAATAGTTCATCTTCTTCTTCTATATAATAAATGCTAATGTCAGTGTGTCACACTTTTTCAGTCAAATGTATACAATTCTCAATACTTCATCTTCTTCTTCTATATAATAAATGCTGATGTCAGTGTGTCACCCATTTTCAGTTAAATGGATACAATTCTCAATAGTTCATCTCCTTCTATGTGAAAAATGCCAATGTAGCTATGCCACTTTCACTCTTTTTCCTCATTTCACTCCTAGAGGCCGTAGCCCAACATATACCATTTTGAAATCAGGCCGACCCCGTGAGGAAATTAAAAACATTCCGTGCCTGATCCAAACTCACAATCCTGAAATTGTGGATTCTCAAGTTTTCATTACTGCGATTGTTTTCGGCGATTTTTTTACGGAATTTTTTAGACGAATCTTTCCGCATGATGACAGATTTTATAACTTGGAAATAAATTTGAGAATAATCGAAATTAATTACAAAATACAGCGAAAGTCAGCCATGAAATAAAAATAATTCTATGTACCGAAAGTAAAGAATTTCGTAGATCAAATTGTCTTTAAATTAAATGACGGCAAAAAATTACGTTCAACTTTTAAAAGGTAAGCATAAATAATGCAATACTTAAATGCAGCTATCACTTTTGAGTTCTGTAGTTTATTGTTGCCTGTCGATTCTATTTCTCCCTACCTTATGTAGGCCCAATCAAAAGGGCAGCTTTTAAGTTAGTAAACAAATAAAATAGATTTATTTTTCAATATCTAAATATTCTCAAAATCCGGTTCTGTTTCAATAGAAAACTTAACCGGATATTATATATATTATTATATTATACATATTGTATTGGGAAATTTCTGGTTAAGGTCAGATATTAAAAGTCACATTTGGGTTTCAGTTAATTAGACCTCGTCTGCGCTTAGAAGGTAGGTTAAGTTGCCCGCTCCGCGTCTTGATGGTGAGATGGGCCAAATTTTGATAGGTGGAAGTGTTGAACGGAATAGATGATCTAATTGTTCATGTTATTCATGATGACGGTCGTCTTTGAGTATAGAATCCAGAGGTTAGCAGTGAATATTTCGAAGACAGTAGGAAAGCGTTGTTCAGGTTAGGAGTTGATATTTTGGTAAAAGTAGCAGAGCGTAGTTCGTCCTTCTGTTTCTCTTCGCCTGACAAGCTGGAACTGGACATTCGGGTAGAGTGAACAAAAATGGCCGCCTTTATACACGACGGATTGAATATTTTACGTCTTCTTATTGGTTAACCTTCTTTTGGTGGACTATAAAGTGACTGGCTCACTAGTCTATACATATACACAAAAAACTGCAACAGTTCAAAATAGCAGAAGGTGTCAGCTACCTATCTATTCAGAACGATCAACGAAGTGCTAAAAAACACCTAATTATATTATAAAGCGGGATCGTGTCCTCATTTTTAGTTATGCCCGCTCTTTGTCGTCATAATTCGTTTCCTTGTGAACGTAAAGCGGCGCTTTCACACTTTTTGGTGAATGGAGATGCAACGTGGCGTCGGAGGATCACTGAAATTAAGCAACGTTGAGCTTGGTCAGTGCCTAGCCGGGTGACCGCAGAGTCTGTAAGTATGGATGTGTGGATGGTGTAATGGTGATAGCTTGGAGATTGTTACTTGGGGAACCGAGTTCCCGTTGGGTTCGTTATGTTGACTTATGTACAAATGACTTTAAGAAATGCATCAATCCATCTCTGTTCCCCCGGGTAAGGGTTAATTAGTAAGACTTGCATCACTAAACCATTATTATCTCTCCCCACCAAAACCACTTATAATCTAAAAATATTTTCTGGCTTTAAATAACCTGCAAAGGGTTGATAAGCAGTTGAAAACGAATTCATAAATCAATATTCTAGAATTTTTTTATTTTTTACAAAAAAATCATATTTTTTACTTCCTAGGAGAGTAATTTCTTTTTTACTTGCTGGCAGAGTAAAATAGATATGGGGGAGTGGTTTATTTCATTATGTTTATCTGACTGCAAGAAACTCAATGTTCCAACATTAAGATAGACCGTGTTCAAATTTGCTTTCCCAGATAGAGGGAATTTAGATTCGATCCCTGCCTTGAGATACATTTTCTTTATAAATTTTTGGATTAACTAGGCCGGAAGGTCTCTGATCAGGTGATTTTGAGGAGCGTGGAACCACATCGTAATTTCTGTTGTTCCCAAGTCCACCCTGTCCTGGGTGGTAGCACTTGTTATGTTAACAGCTACGGGCAAATAGTTAAACCCCAAACTGGGATCAAAACACTATGAAAGTGTAAAAATGGGTTTTTATAGTAAAAAGTATCAGCAATATATTTTCGAAAATAAATAACCAGCAATACATTTGACTCTCGACAAAAACTCTCTTCACAAAAATACGTCAATGAAACTTGATCTACAAACAGATTTCTTACAAAGAATGCATATTCTAAAATAATCATGTCGGCATTAAATAACGCATTGAGGTTGATATACTGTAAAACAAAATAAACATTAATGGTTTCACTCTTTATAAATAAATAGTGCAGATGATACTCAGCCAAGTGTGTCCACTAAAAATACGGTGGAGTAATGGATAGAGGCTTGGATTGAGGAATCAGAGAGCCGAGTTCGAATTCCAGTCGAATCCATTACATTCACTTACGTGCTAATACACTTTGGAAAGGTGTGAATCCTCTTCTTCTCCCTCCAGCTATGGGTAAATAGCAGGGTTCTGTAGCCTTGGATGGCAACTGGTCTAGGAGAAGGACAATTCTGAATTCAAAACCTGCGGAGGGTCGTTTGGGGACCTTGTAGCACTTAGTGCACCAGGTCTCTGTAATCGGCCCTTCAAAAAGTGTGGATGGTCCTGCACGAAACCTTCACCACTATAATCAAATCTCATGTGTTGCTGTCGGGCTGTCGGTTTCCTAGGAACTGATCTGCTTGACCCTCATACGTCGGATTCGACGGGAGAGTCGAGTATATATATATATATATATATATATATGCCTATATATATATATATATATATATCTTCTGGAGGTATTTTTATTTTAAACTGATAACTTAAATTTAAATATACCACTATTTAACTATGAATATTAATAGTGAAATATTGACATTTTTTTTAAATAATTAAGCATTTCAGAAGTCACCTAACGTTGAACTTTAACTATGAAATCAAACAAAAATCTAAATAAATTTCAAATATTAAAATATAGGTAATTATTTATAAACGTATGTATAAATAGTTTATGTATGAATATAGATGAACATTTGTGTATATTGTTACACGTGTGTCTATGTGTGTATTTTCGCATGTAAATAAACGTATGTATATATGGGATTTGCATGAATATGTTTGTGATATATATATAAGAAGAAAGCAAAATCATTAATATTAACCTCAAATATTATTCCATAATGAAACCTAAACCTTAAGTAAGGATGTTTCCCCATATACTTAATAAAGAAAAATTGCATTCATAAATTAGATTAACAGTAAAACTAATATAGATGTTACCGTAAATTTTTTTACAATATTAAGGAAGTATGATTAGTCGGGTAAATAAACTATTATAATTTAAAATATTTCTTTAATATGTTCTCTATAAATGTGTTAATAAAAATAGTAGTTAACTTATATTAAACCCCTAAACTATTTGCTTGAAAAACTAAATATTTAAATTGATAACAATCATCAAATTTTTTTAGACATCTAAATTTCTATCAAGCATTGAAATCTATCCTTTACATAAATTGTTAAAACCCAATTACGGCCTCTTTCGATTAACTTCCCTCTCCCTCTCTCTCCTTGCTGTAACACTCATTTGTATATATCTGTATTACTGTTTTCTGTCTCCTCTTTCTTTTTCCTTTTTCTCTTTTTTTTCCATTTCTGTATATCATTTCCGTTGTTAACCATCTAAATAGGTCAAGGTCTGGTCACCTCGTACCCCAATATAAAGTATACTTGAGAGATATGAAATTAACCCTCCCTATACTCTACCATGTCTCTTTAACTATCCCTCATCCCCATCCCCCTGTTAAAATTATTAAAATCTACACTAACCATCAATTTTAATCTCATTTTTCGTTTCATTTCGATGTTGGAAGTGTTATCTGATGACACGGCGTCCTTTTTAAAAGAACTCTGGTGAAATAAATTATTGTAATGGTACCTTAAAGTGGTCTGTTTTAAATAATATATATATATATATATATTTTTAATATATATATATATATATATATATATATGTGTGTGTGTGTGTGCATCTTTCATTGATAACGGCTGACAAGTAATATTTAAATAATCTTTTATTAAATTTTTCAGCAATTTTTCCGTTTTGCTTTTCGGATTCGTCGGAACGCATCCACCCTTGTATAACCCTGCATCATCGTTCCAATGTGCAGTAATCAGTGAATTTATATCAATATCTTATTTTGCATTATTTTGAATTGATTCTTGCACAAGTAGAATTTTTCTTTCTTTTTTTTTTATTTTCATTCTTTCCGTCTTACTTTTGGACGTCTCCTCGTCTTCCTTTTCTTTCTATTTTTCTTTCTTTCTTTCTGTTTACCTCGCTTATTTCTTTCCTTCTCTTGTCTCTTTTTTTCTTCTTTCCTACTATTTATTCCTTAAACCTCACTTTGTAACTAAAATCCTTATCATTTTGTTTTTAATTCTTTCCTGTTTTCATATTTGCTTTTTTTTTCTTCGTCCCTTCATTTTTCTTTAAATCTCACTTTTTTTTTACCAATCTCTCTTCTTCTTCTTTTTAATTCTTCTCTCCGATTTCTTGTTTTTTTCTTTTTTTTCTTTTTTTTTCTTTCTTTCTTTCTTTATGTCATCTGATATTATTTTCATATTCCATTTATTTTTTTCTTATCTTTATTTTTCTTTCTTTAATTATCTATTTATTTCCTTCTTTTTTTTGATATTATTATAAAATTTCTTTTTTCATTCTAGTTTTTACTTAACTTTTCGAATTCTTTATTTTATGTCCTCATTTTTCTAATCCTTCCTTCCTTCTTTCTTTTCTTTGCTTCTAACGGGCATATTTCTTGCTTAAGGCATTCATATGTTATCTGCAGCGACTGCAGTCAAAAGTTAAGCGCATATGAGAATTCTGATATGAACAGCCAATATAATTTCGTTTTCATTTATATCCAAATTGCTATTAATCTACCAATTAATATCTATCTATCTATCTATCTATCTATCTATCAATCTATCTATCTATCTATCTATCCTGAACCCAAACGTATCTATGATTTTATCTAAATGATTTTTCAGATATTTTGATTTGTCGGACATTTGGGGTGATATTATTTTCACATAATTGGACTTAAATAACATGATCCAATAGAGAAATAAATACATTTTCTAATAACACTAATTTATTAACTCTTGACTTTGTCAGTCTTAATGAAACAATATCTATCTATCTCCACCTGCTTCGCATTTCATCTCTTTATATATATAATATATTTTTTATATATTATATATATATATATATTGTCGGACATTTGCATTTTTCTCATCGGTAGCGATATTTATGTATGTTTTTCACACATAATTGTCTCTCCCACAGGAGTAGTAAAGCGGTAACATGATCCAATAGAGAAATAAATACAACTAGATTTTCACCAATAACACTAACGTTTTGAATTACCCTTTTGACTTATTGATCAAGCCTCCACTTAATGAAACAACAATTTCATTATTTTTATACAATACAATATTGAACATATTAACATATAGATGGCTTTTGTAAATAAATATGTCTATGTGCAACGTGTATATCTCTGTAAATATGGATGTATTTTATATTTGTAGATATATATATATATATATATATATATATATATATATCAATTATATATATTTATATGTATATATATATATATATATATATATATATATATATATATTTTATATCTCATCGGGAAAATTCTGGAACCACCTGAGTTTCAAATGTAGGTTTTTTCCCCCATTTCACCTTTCTTAACAAAATTTTGCTCTTACAAACAAATATACACAACAGATTCATAAAATCAAAAGAAAATGGTTGAATACATTCTATGATATAATGACAATATTCTACACGTGACAAACAGATAAGTTAAAAAATGAAAATAGTTTCTCTACATTCCAGTAGTACATTCTGCGTTACTTTATTCAATTAATTTCAGATTTTGGGCCATTGGACGAAACGCGTCAGCAATTACCAGTTTTCTATTGGATTTTTATTCATAAATATATATATATATATATATATATATATATATATATATATATATATATATAAGTATCAATTATCCAACATAAATTGCTGCGTCATTATCTACGATGAAAATATTTAAATTATTTAAATTATGCAACGGTCCCGGTTTTCAAAAAGCATCTGACGATTGCATCGTGCATTTGCAGCTGTGCGTATGTAAATATAAAAGTAAATAGCAAGCTGTTTCCACTGTGAAATACTATATTATATATATATATATATATCATTATTTTTATATATATATAATATATATAATATATATATATGTAGATTCTCTTTTTGATTCATAAATATTGAGAAGTTTGTTTTATTTAATTTTCTTGTGTTCGTAAATGTGATTGGTTTTCTGGAATGTGTATATGTTCTATAAATATGGATGTATTTAACAAAAAATATTATTTGATTTTAACTGAATATCTAGTTTTTCTCTCTATGTATCTGGAAGTATAGGCGTGTTCCTTTTATTACTATTTGTAATGTTTTTTACAAATATTTAAAACTGTTAATGTTAGTTGGCTTTTGTTTATATTTATATTTCATTATTATATATTTTTTTATATGGAGGTAAGTTGCCATTTGTATATATATATAAATTAAATATATATATATATATATATATATATATATATATATAAATCTTCCATTCGACCATGCTTAGAATATTGGTGCTCCTGCCATTTTTGTCTAGCTTCTTGATAAAATGCTTGAATAAATAAATGATCTAAGGTCTCGGCTTTTAGTCAATAAAAAACCATGAAATTGTTATAGAAAATTATTTAAATAATTTATGCAATTCAAATGATCGCTTCGTTAGGGTACCTATAATATTTCAAAAGAATACACTGACGATTGCAATTTACATTTGAATTGTCAAGATGGTAAATGTGCAACATGCACTTCTCGCTTGTAACTTCCGGTTTATAAAAGTAGCCAAATTTAAATTCAATCGTTATCTAATGTCTTCCTAAGTATTCTTAGCGGTGAGAGTCTGTTTCCACACCCAGTAACCCCCTAAACTTAGTGGCTTTATTGCCTTGATTATGAAATATAAAAAAAAAAATATATATATGGAAATATTTATCGTTATATATATAGATGGAAAATACAATTTGAACAAGAAAAAATTCCGAAAGTATATTAGATCAAATCGGACAGAATATTAACAAATATTTATATATGAAATATATATAAAAGAAAAAACTATTAATTTAAAAAAAAGAAAGAGGAAATGATTAAACTTACATTTTATGGCATAAAAATAGTGTTTACATTTTAACTTTTCTCATTTCATATAAATAAAAAATATTTAATTTAAAAGGGGTTTTTTATGAAATAAGGCGTCAACAGACACGTGTTTGCATTTAATGGTCAAAATGTGTTTACATTTCTTCAATCTGTCATATTCTAAAGGTGAAAGTTTTTATTGAAATATTTTATTGGATTCTTATTACAAAAAATAATTAATTTTTCATCAAGAAAGATTTTCTAGATGTTCAAATGGAATATTCTTTAACGATGCACAAAGACATTTCGTTTGTTTGTCTAACAATCAAAATAAGAAGACAGAATGTATGATCTTTCTCAAGAGGAACAAGTCCAAGATTCGATGAACAAAATAGCTATACCAAAATCAAGCACGTAGAAAAAATTAAATAACAGGGAAATGTTATAACAGCCACTGAAAAATGCGAAAGATCCGATGGCGCGTTAGGATAAAGAAAGATGTCTAACTAAAGCTGAATAATGTATTAAGACACAGGAAAATGTTTTGGGATAAAAAAAGTTATTGAACTGTTTAATAATATTTAATCTGTTTTATGAAAGCCGCTCTATTTTCTGACAGATAAAAAAAGAGATGTGAAGCAACAGAGATGTGATTCTAAAGAAGAATTCTGACAATATACAGCAGCATAGGACATCGGGGATAAAATGAGCAATTGAATTACCCACAGCAAGAAGATTAATGAAGAATGATGATGACGAGGAAACACAGAGATAATTTACAAAAAAAAAAAAAACAAGATTATTTATCAACGAATTTATACACGTATCATACAAACACATTTTTTTAAGTCCGTAATTTCAACATGAACAGGGATTCTCTGGTTTCTGATCCCACTCTAATTATTTAGCGGCCTAGCAAACGACGTACACACACATAAACATATACATTCACTATTTTTCCTTGTTATGCGTTATACTATTACATGGAATCGTCAAACGTCATTTCCCACACACTTTTTATAACACACACACACAGATCACACACGCTTCACATTTTAAACACACACTATATTTAGCTGTTAGAATTCAAAGCCACGCTTGTGCGTATTCAAAATTTTCAAGTAATAATTATTCGTTCTGGTACATAAATATCGCAACGCCATTTATTTATGTAGCTGTAGCTATTTATAGTCTTTATAACTTCATATGTAAATGAGTCACCTCAGACATATTAATATAAAAAGAAAAACAAAAATAGAAAGCGACATATATTTTAAACTTAGTGACTCACGACAGTACCTCCTTTTTACATCTTCCCATCAGAAACAGACTCGTACCAACATTCCATTTAACATGACCAAGCGAATCTGTACAATAGCCTCAAACCCAATAACAAGACCGAAAAGAGGCGAAAAAATGCTCATTAAGAGAAAATAGCCTCAAAATTTATTCAACAATAGAATTTAAAAATCAAAACAAATATCCACACACTTCGAGAAGCAAAAAAAGAATGTCATGATTATATCTCACCTTCCAACCAAAAGAACACAGAACTCTACACAAACATACAACTAAATCTACCAATTCTACTAAAGGACAAAAAATGAAAAACCTATTAGAAAAGTACCCTATCATAAAAAGTAAACGACAAGCAAAATCACTAAAAAAGATACTGAGGACTGCAAAACTGCAGACCACAATTAGAGCCCCAGGTGAAAAGATTCAACCGAGGTGTCGGTTGCATCTGTTCAGCTGCGGAGTATGCAGCTACCTATTACGGACATTACAATGGCCCAAGCGGCCAGAAACTCCGACAAAGGATGACATCGCCAATAAATTAGTGATCCCCAAACATTTAGCCAACATATAGAGGAATGCGAAGCACGAAATCTGTCAAACTTTAATATCTTCCCATTTTACCAAAGCGACTAGAAAATCACCGAACACAAGTGTATTAATAAAGAAAGATATTTTTTATCAGCAAGTTTAAAGCAAAACCCAATTCATCACATAAACTCAAAATAGATTCTATTATATTTTCCTTACCATAAGCGATATATACAACCGGTTAGGCCACTTGATCTTTTTGTTTTATTCAAGGCACAAGCGTCAACACGTTGATATATAAAGATTTACAAACTTTTGAAAAGCTAAAACAAAAACGGTTTAAGTAAAAAAAATTTTCTGAAAACCCACATGAAAATAAAACAAGTTTAATTTTAATATTTCTCTGTAAAAATACATTTATTATAAATTTTACATGTAAATATTACTTGCATTTCCAAATCTTATTTTCTCTATACACCAATTATTTGTACAAACTTTTGTAACAATTTATAATAATATTTATATTATCTACGGCTGGATGTAATTTGATAATTTTTCATGTGTGTTTAATTATTCCTTATTGTGTTATGTTAAAAACGATGTAATATGAGTCTTCCTTGCAGACATGTATTGTTACCTCCAATATAATTAGTCATGTATTTGGTTTGATTAGGAACACAGTTCCTTAAATGTGAATTCATATCGTTGACTCTCTCTCTCTCTCTCTACATATATATATATATATATATATATATAATCGATTCTCCCGTCGGGTTCGAGCCCGACACCGGCACATGAGATTCGATTATAGTGGTGAAGGTTTCGTGCAGGACCATCCACACTTTTTGAAGGGCCGAATACAGTGTCACAAGGTCCCCAGACGACCCTCCGCAGGTTTTGAATTCAGAGTTGCCCTTTTCCTAGACCAGTTGCCACCCAAGTCTGT